GTGTATATATGGTTAAGATCGGATACAAAGTGTGCTTCCAGTACAAAATGCAAATTCATCTCATCCATCCAATTTAACAAAATCAAGGGTTAGTTTTTATTTGAGCATTAATACTCAATACGTATAAGTGGAGAATTTTTCTCCTATAATCCGTATTACATGGGACCAGCCATTAATGCATTGGTTTCCTATCTTGACCATTACATTATTAAAATCAATGGTTCGGATTAGTTTGCATTTTGTAAATTAGGATTTTTTTGTATGTGATCCTAAATCTATATATATATATATATATATGTATATATATATATTAAATTTATTCTATTAAATATACTTTAATTTTTTTCTTCATAATTCCATACATCCATCTAATTCAATTTTTGCCCCTTATCACTACAAAAAGAGGTTGAAAAGGCGACAGATTGGTTCCGACGGATATTACCGTCGGTAATTACCGACGGATTTACCGACGGATTACCGACGGATTTTTAAATGAACCGTCGTTGTTCCGTCGCTAGAGTGGGTGCAAAAATTCCATCGCTGATCCGTCTCTATTTCGTTGCAAAGCCATTCGGTTGTTTGTACTTCGTCCCTATTCCGTCGGCAACATCTACTCCGCCTGTTTATAAGCTTACACATGAACAAATACATCTGATGAAAATGTTTAGATCAGACAGAAGTTGGATGTATGAAAGATACGATCCATCCACTGTTTCCGATACATTTAAAAATGGTGTGAAGAGTTTTGTTGAATTCGCTATTGTTCAGCATGAGTATATGAGCGGAGAAAAAATTCGTTGTCCGTGTCGAAAATGCACTAATCGATGTTTCTATGATGTTGAAACTGTGAAACTTCATTTATTTCAACATGGATTCGTTGCTGGTTATAGTATTTGGACCTCACATGGTGAATTAGTACAATTTGAAACACCACAATTTGTGGATGCACAAATTATCTCTCAAGAAGGTCATAATGATTCAGTCAATATATCTTCAGTTTCTCGAACTCATGAAGACATACCATGTGGTCAAAGAATGCTTGGAGATATTTTTGGAGGATATGTGGAGCAAGCATCCACCACAAACTCTTTTCCAGAAACCACAGATGCAACTTACAGTATATCGCCAAATGTAAATGAAGTATCATATTTGGCAAACCAGTTCCATAATGTTCTACAAGCGGCAGATCAACCTTTATATGAAGGATGTCTAGAAGGCTCTCAATTACAGTTCGTTACTGAGGTAATGAGTATAAAATTAGATTTTAATGTACCTCAGGATGAAGTAAATAGGTGGTTATAATTATAACTTTGTCATATTTTCTTTTTTGGTTGTCTCCAAAAACTTTGTCTCTTTATTCTGCAGAAACCTCAACCACATAATTTTTATTTTATTATTTTTTGTGTCAGTCAAACTTGACAAAGTTTTATGGGACATATAGAGTATCAATTTAGGGTCTGTTTGCAATAGCTTCTGCTTTTAAAAAAGTGCTTTTTTTAATGAAATGAGGAAAAGTGATTAAATAAAAGTTGATAGTGTTTGAGAAAAAAGTGATTTTGAAAAGTAAAAGTGAGTAGTGTTTGGTAAAATAAGTGCTTTTTGTGTAATAGAAAAAGTAAAAGCACTTTTGACGCGGAAGCCGAGAAAAATAAAAGTTGTAGTGTTTGAGAAAATAAGTGCTTTTTTAAAGCCAAAAGCTGAGAAGTGCTTTTTTTAAAAGCAGTTGCAAACCAACCCTTAGCAATTTGAGTCATACCAAATAGGACTGTTGATATCCTACCTCATCATCTTAACTCTTAAGAGTACTAGTACTAGTTAAGGAATTAAACAACTCCCTAAATCAAGTTTATACAAATATCGCACCGGTAATACCTCCGATTCACCGGGTTTTGGGTCGACATACTCGGCTTAGTTCAATTTCTTCTTAAACATATATTTATAATGTTGGAGAAAACACGACCCCCGATCTCTTCCCGGATCGCAAGTTGACAGATCTCTTGTACATTCACTCACACCCTCACAATACAAAGACTCAATCTGACAATGCCTATTTGTATATTACAGTTGAGACTACTTCATTCTTACGTTCTCTCCTCTCTCTAGGAGGTTCTCACTTACTTGAGAGCTATTCTTAAGACTCTTTTCTCTCAACATTCGGTGAAGCTCTCTCACTCTCACTCAGTGAGTGACATCCTAGGATCTCTCACTTCTATCTCACAAGAAGATATTTATTTCAATATAGTGTGTATATTCAAAGGGGCGAAAAGACGAAACACAAATGAATTAAGATTGGAAATTGAGAATCCTCCAAATTAACTGTCCTGGTCGGTACTAGGTAGGGATGACAAAGAGGCGGATCAAGGACGGTTATACATATAACCGTACCGGCCCCATTGAGTAATTTCTCCGCCCCGTAACCGCCCCATTACCCAACACGTAATTTTTACTCAAACCATAACCGCCCCAAGGGGTAACGGGTATAATCACGGGTAACCGTGGATAACTGCTTTATTAAATAAGTCATTTTTTAATATAAAAATAATATTTTAAAAGGCATAAAATGGCATATCCTAGACGACCCTAGACTTCAGACGCCGCTTTAAAGATTCATATATCTACAAGATGATAAAGAAGGCCATTTAAATTAATTTGAACCTAAAAATACTTAACAAGATTATTAAAATCTATCATGAACTTTCATTCATATACTATAGTTAGTACATTTGTTATTCATATGTATACACAAAGAAAAGAGAAAATATCATCTTTTAATAGTTGTGGGACAAATAATTGATAAAAATATAATAAAAATATAACAAAAAATAAACAGGGCGGGTTCGTGGCTGGTAATGAGGTGGACATGTGTAAAATCATAATCGTCCCATTCCCCATAAAAAAGGTACTCTCCACCCTATACACGTTACTCAGTCAATGCGATTTTTTCCATTTTAATTGGGACGGTTTGATGCGGGTATCCATCAGATCGATCACAATTGCTGTCTCTAGTACTAGGTCCAAGAATGGGGTGTTTTTTTAATTAGGAATCCTAGATGTGGTCTTCGCCTACGATATACTACCTCCGTTCTCTTTTAATTGCAACATTGAACTTTTTACACTATTCACATATTCTACTTTGACTATATTTTATTTATTAATATATATAAAAATATTGTTAAATTCTTCTCATTCTAAATTTTCAAAACATGAATATTTTAAATTTTATACCAATATGGAATGAAAGATATTAATGATAGAACTTGTGCGTTGACAAATTTGAAATTTTGACTGTTGCAATTAAGAGGAAGTACATAATTATTTCAAGCTTATATAGCTAGGGGTGAGCATTCGGTCAGTCGGTCAAATAACCGACCGATAACCGAACCGACCAATGTTTTTTCCTCTCATAACCGACCGAAAACCGACCGACAACATTACAAAAACCGACCGAAAAATATCATTCGGTTTCGGTCGGTAACAGAATAACCAAACATAACCGACCAAAACATATATTTTTCAAAATTATAAAAGTTGTAGATAGCACATTAATAAATAAAATAATAATTACCAAAATGGATTCAACATATTTAAATGTAAATAATTGTTCTTAGCACAATACGATTACAAAAACTAAAAAATCCCACGTTGAAACTACTTCATAGTTCCACAATTGTCTTTTTCAATATGAAAACAAAATAAAAAAGAATATGTTAGCAAATAAATAAGCTAATATCTTATTAATCTTTACACCCCAAATGAGCAAACCCATCTAAAAGTTTCTGAATATTTTAAATCCCACTAAAGAACAAATTAAAAATCAAAAGATCTGCCATGTTGAGTAAGATAATAAAGGATCTAGAAAACATTAAAAGAAAAAATGTGTGCAATTTTGCAACGATTAAATAAGGATTTCAGTTGATTTTTCTTTACCAAGGTTGATTCCTCCAGAACTATTGAACGTGTACGTGGAGGTTTGAAATTTTGAACAGGGTGTTCCATGAATTGATTATAGGAATACAAGTTAAAGAAATGGGGAAGTGGATAATTGAAGAACGGGCTCCATAGCATTCCACTGATGAGTTTTGTAGGTGGAGTTCAATAGGCGTGGGCTGGACTTCATATTTCATTACTATGGAGTTCTTTTTTATCGTTACTATGGAATTATTAATTTATTATGGAGTATATTAATTATATTTACTTAAATATTTACAAAAAAATAAAAAAATAAAAAAAATCGGACGGTTATCGGTGACCGACCGATAACCGACAAATAAAACCGAATAAAAACCGAATAACCGATTATTTTTAATTTATAATAACCGATAACCGACCGAAAACTGATTTTTTCGGTCAGTTCGGTCATCGGTTTTCGGTCAGGTCGGTTGAATCGGTTATTTGCTCACCCCTATATATAGCATAAGGGATATAGGCCAAAAAGGACATTAAAGTTATTTAAAAAGTTCAAATTAGACACTAAACTTTTAAGTGGACCAAATAGACCCAAAATCCACCTTTTACAACACATTTGGACACTCTGTCAACACGACACTGACTTTTGTTTAACGGCGCTAGGGGTGGACCAGTTCCGGTTTGGGCCCGGCCGGGCCTCGGTTCAGAAAAATGAGGCCCGAGCACGAACCGGTGGTGGGCGGTTCCGGGTCCGGTTCCGGGCTAGACCGGGCCGGGCCGGGCCACCCGGATTTTTAATTTTTTTTCTTCTTCTCTTATTTAACCCCCTCCCCCTCCACCCCAAACCACCTCAAATGGCCCAAAATACCTAATCCAACCCAAAACTTAAAAACAATTCAAAAATAAAAAATAAATAAATTCCGGGCCGGTTCACTAAACTGGAGGCCCGGGCCCGCACAGTAGCGGGCCGGTCCAGTTCCGGGCCGGTTGGCCCGGCCCGAGTCCATCCCTAAACGGCGCTTCAATGTCATTTGTCAAAAAGTAAACGAATAAGGGCGGACATCCTACAGCCCAATACATTATCATCTCATATACTCATCCCTCTCTTAATATTCATCAAGTGCTTGGTGTACCGAAACTCACAACCCCGATCTTTCTAAAGGAAGACGAGAATATGTTTGACTAATCCAACATAGAAGAACATCTGTGAATCAACTTACTATATATATATATAGGTAATTAAATTTCCCTTGAAAAATTTAATCAACTCTCGGAAAATGTAGATTCTCCTTAACTAAGAACAATATATTTAGTTTTATAGCACTTTGTAGTAATAGAAGAAAAAATTACGGATGATGGGAGTTGATGACTTCATCAGCGCTTGCAACCAGGATCCTTGGTAAAGAGGAGTTGCATGAGATTCAGGTGTTCCAAAGGACCTGCAAAGGTTGTATTGTCGGGTATACGTTGGAACCCTACTTATTCATAAGGATTGAAATCCGAAAAATATCTTGAAATTGGTAAAAATGCCGCCCGGCTGCACCTGTGAGAAGAAAAGAAAGCATCCCATATTCATCTTGGTGCTAGAGTCAAAGTTAGGGATAACAGTATAAAACTTGAGTTAATTCATTTGCCCTCTTTTGCAGCTCAATTTCGAATGTCCTCTCGTCGGGCTATGGGCAACAGAGAGGAGTGGAAAATGAAGTCGGTTTGTTAAGATTGTTGTGCTCCGTAATTGACGGATTTGAGAACCACAAAGTAGGTGAGTGTCCAAATGTAACGTAAAAGGTGAATTTTGGGTTAATTTGGTCCAAATAAAAGGTTAGTGTCCATTTTCAACTTCATAAATAACTTTAAATTTTGATCTTTATCCCTATAGCATAATCTAACCACACGTAGCAGGAAAAAAATGGCCACTTTTTTGTCTCTCTACACTCCCTCTTCATCTTCCTTTCTCACACTCGCAAAAGACTCATCTTTCATGAAAACAAAGCCATGTCTCCAGTATAATCCCCGACCACTCTTTCTAGCTTCTGCACACCGTACCGAAGCTGACCAAGAACTACCAGAGCCTATCAGAACTCTTTGGCAATGGGGATGTGATGAAGGAGTGATATCAAAGAAGACACCAGTGAGGCTAGGAGTTGTCCCAGAAGGACTAGGGCTTGTCGCCACTAAAGACATTGGTAGAAATGAAGTCGTTTTGGAAGTTCCCAGAAGGTTCTGGATCACTCCAGAAACAGTTGCAGATTCAGAGATTGGGAGTGTGTGTTCTGGGATGAATCCCTGGGTTGCTGTGGCTCTGTTCTTGCTTAGAGAGAAGCACAGGGATGATTCCAAGTGGAAATCCTATCTTGATGTCCTCCCAGATTGCACCAATTCTACTGTTTTTTGGTGGGTCTGAACTTTTAACTATATGTTTTTTTTTTTCGTTTATTTCAATTCTAGCACTTATTTATTGTTGTTTTTAAATTTTTATTAGGGTTGTGTATTATTTATTCCGTATTACTTACTTATTTACAATGTCACTTGAAATTCGGGTTTCAGTGCAGGTCAGAAGAGGAGCTTGCTGAGCTTCAAGGTAGCTCCCATTGTTTCTCTTTAAAGATTTTGAATGGTGTGTCTAATTTGCTTGTTCAATGCTTTATGTGTTGTACTTCACACTCATATGAAGCACTGGATGACCTAGCTTCCTATGTGGGTAAAAAAAATCAGTTCATAGAATCATAGGTCAGTATAGACTTCGACCGTTCAACGTCCCAGAAGCTGGGGATGACACACTCTAGGTTGAGGAGGAGAAGAAGAAAATTCATATTTTTAAAAATTCAAGTACAAAAAAAGTTTGTTTGAGCATTGATTAAAAAACGAGCAATTGTAAACTGGTAATGTCAAAAGAAGGCCCCATGGTGGAGAAAATATAGCAGACTGATATACGAAGTTTGTGAAGAATGGCTGTTTATGGCAATCTATGGTGGCACCATATGGCAGAATTTTGGGAATCCGCCATAACCTGCCATGCGCGACTAATACCACTATCCTGAACAACAATGCAATGTTTTTTTCTTAATAAACCTCAAGCTACTACAAGTAAATGGTTCTAAACTTAAGGGTTGGAAACGGCCCTGGTTCTTGAATGGAATTGATATTGTCCATTTTTTTGCAAGATACCAAACAATCATTTCGTCCTAGAATCATAATCAGTGTAGGGGCAGTTCTGCTCTGGTTAATTTGTATATCGATCGGAATCAAACAGTTCCTTTCCGCATTCCATTTTTTGAAATGCTAAAATTTTCCTGTTCAGAGCCGCACAAAACTACGCCCAAGACAGAGGCGACACTAACACGGGAGCCTGACCCCACCCGCTTAACCTAGCTTCCATTGAGGTTCTTCAATCTAGGGTCCTAAAACTGAGCAGTTTAAAACTGGAGCAGAACCGATTTGTGTCCACCCTACTAGCATGCTTCCTCATGAAAGAGTCTTTGGATCCACCATTGATATAAAGTACATTATTTAATGCCTTCTGTCTAATACTCTAACCATTGTTGTCTCTTTTAAGATCAGTGTGTCCAACAATAGGCAATAGGTTATGTTGCAAGGACATGGAAACACAAAAAACAGACATCGAGAAACGCCACTTTTTAGTTGAAAATATTAGAGAGGCTCTGTACAGTTCTTGGGTCCGTTTACAATCCGGAAAATATCGGGAAAAAATAGGGAGGGAATAGTATAGGAAACTGTAAAGGAAAGAAAATGTGAGAGAAAATAAAATATAGGTAAAAAATATCTATGTTTATTTTAAACATTTGTTGATCTCATTTTTTTTTTAGTAATTTCTATTATATACTAGTAAATACTTAGAAGTACGTGTGAAACAAAAACATAAGAAAATAATTACATTTCACTTTCCAAAACTATAGCCCCAAACCTATGAAAATTATTGCCGTTGACATTTGCTTCATTTTCTTAGCATTTTCATGGATCCAAACAGGCCATAAGAGGCTTCCAAAAAAGTTTTACAATACATCCCAGACATTTGTGCATCATATCATAGCCGATTATTTTTTTATCTGTGTAAGCTTCGTGTAGTATTCTTTTGTTACTCTAATAGCGCATAAATGCACATATATTTATCGCTACAAATCTCCACTACTTGTCTATGTCTCGATACGAATGATGCAAATCTTTAGTCATGAAACTTTGCAGGGACCCAGCTATTAAGCACGACTATAGGTGTCATAGAATATGTGCAAACTGAATTCCAGAGAGCTGAAGAGGTCATACTTCGAAACAAACAGCTTTTCCCTTTCACTATCACATTGGATGACTTCGTTTGGGCATTTGGAATCCTCAGGTCAAGGGCGTTTTCCCGTCTTCAAAATCAAAATCTTATTTTGACGCCATTTGCTGACTTGGTAAGGTCCTATATGGAAAAATATATAAAAAATTAGGGGTGAAGTAGACGTAGTGAAAGAGTGACTATTTTGTTGTATGCATTAGATCAACCACAGTGGTAGAGTTACATCAGAAGACCCTGCCTATGAAGTTCGACGAATGGCGGGCTTTTTCTCCAGGGATTACTTATTCTCTTTGCGAAGCCCCTTAGCAGTGAAGAAAGGTGAACAGGTAAGGCTGACGCACCCCACTAAGGCTTGTTTAGTTGGTCGATTTTCTATGCAGGGAATGATTCATATTGATTTTATTAACTTTTCCTTGTTCATTAGTGATCCGACGGATGCACCCACCTATAATCCATTTTTCAACATTCTATTTATCAAGAACTAGACCAAGTTTTCCAAAATCCTTCATTCAAATTGACTTCAAGGGCATTGATCCCAAATAGTGACCAGACTATATAGGGTCCAGAAAACCTCTACTGGCCCTTCTGGGAGTTGAACTAGTCACCCTAAAGACATTTTAGTTCTAAATGAAACCAATCAAGCTACCCATCAGGGTTAAAAAAGAATGACAAATAGGCGAGATTGACAGGTTTTCATCCAATATGATGTGAACAAGAGCAATGCTGATTTGGCTCTGGATTATGGTTTCACTGATTCAAGTCCACATCGTGATGCATTTACGTTAACGCTGGAGATCTCCGAGTCTGATGAGTTTTATGGGGACAAGTTGGACATTGCAGAATCAGTTGGTTTAGGAGAAACGGCTTACTTTGATATAAAGTTAGGCAAACCTCTCCCCCCTCAAATGCTTCCCTATTTGAGACTAGTTGCACTTGTTGGTCCTGATGCTTTCCTCCTTGAATCAATATTCCGGAATGCTGTGTGGGGCCACCTGGAACTACCCATTAGCCGTGCAAATGAGCTGCTCATATGTAAAATTGTTTGTGATGCTTGCTCGTCTGCACTTTCGGGATACAGTACCACTCCTGAAGAGGTAAGTTGTTGCTCACCAGACATACCTATCCGTATGAGTTGTTCCTTCTAAATGAGAAAAGAAATATAAGGAATGAAAGTGAAAATGATCCTATAGTAACCGGAGAAAAAGCAAAACATTTTCTTCAACGAATAATGAAATACATTAGTTGTTTGCTTTTCACCTTGGAGGCTTGGAGACCTGAAATACTGAAAATGTTTGTTTGTTTGCTATTCCCTGATTGGGGAGGTTTGGGCCTAGTCCACCTCTCTTGTTTTTGTAATCCCACTTTTTATTAGTAAAACCTGGTAATGTTCTCCGGCATTCACCCCACTCATTTTGGTGGTTTGCACTGCCGGGTTTTAAAAAAAACATTAGTTGTTTGCTTGAACGCCCAACACGAGAAAAAAGAATAAAAGATTTTGCATACTTGGAGAAATGATATGGTATTATATATACACAATCTGTTTTTGCATGGCATTACTCGCATGCCGTTATATTAACAACTCAAGCATGGGATGATAAATAAATGCAGGATGAGAAGATGAAAAAAGCAGGAAGCATGAGTCCAAGACTGGAGATAGCAGTGGGGGTAAGGGGAGGTGAGAAGAAAGTGTTAACGCAGACGAACAATATATTTAGAGAGAGGGAAGAGGAACTGGACGAGTTAGAATACTACCAAGAGAGGAGGCTCAAAGATCTTGGTCTGGTTGGTGAACAAGGTGAAATTATCTTTTGGGAGCCGCCTCAAAAATAGAGGACACCACACCTGCGCAAATCTCGTCTTATTTACAGTTTACAATGAAGTACTCCCACCCTTTCCGAAACAATTTTCACTTTTCGACTAGACATTTCCCGATTTAAAAACTGCATTAAGTTGTAACAAGAGAACACACTTCACAAATTTGTTTTAGCAACTACTTCGAAATGATATCAGTAAAGTCTATACTATAAATTATACGGAGTAATGGTTATAGATCGATATCTATAGCTATTGAAGTAGAAGTTTAACAGTTACTATTGTTTGGTAAAGTTATTATGTGATGAAGTGCAATGTGATTACATTATTTGCCCTTGCAAATCATTTTTCATGTCTGAAAAGACCAAATGGCACAAATGCACATTATATTATGCTCATTCTGTATTAGACAATCATTTTAAACTTTCTTTTAACAAATGCATTGATACAAATCTAGCCTGTTAAACGATCCTCATTCCCCACTATGAACGAATGAGTATGCACATTAATGTATTCAGACGAAATCCTATCATTAGGATCAGATTAACTTACGCATTTCATTGATTCTTTACATAAAGTGATAAACAATAAACTTCGGTACACTGTACTACATAGTTTGTAATTGGTAAAACTTTTCCCTTTAGTAATCTGCAAAAGTTAATTGTGTAATTTGTAAATCTATTCCACATAAATATTACAGCGTATGTTTCAGAGTATGGCAAGCCTGTCGTTTTATTAAACTTGCATGCGTAATAAACTTGCATATTTGTAAATCAGTTGATTAAAACTTGAGTTTTAATCATCTGATTCAGCCCACCCAGCAACAGTTTGAACAAACACAGCCTTTTAAATAATTTGAGCTTTACCAAACATGGCTCTGCGAGTTCATCACATGTTCTACAAATTGCTCATAGCTTTATTTTGTATAAGTTATACTTCGTATTTCTCAGTAAACAAAGTTGAATGTTTGTGGAAAAGCAATGCATAGAAGAACACACAATTTATTGATAAAGATGGACTGCAGGCATACAATATTACATTACATTCATACCAAATTTTAACAACTCAGGCATTCATTCAAAACAATCAAAACTCATTATAGATCTCCCAAATTCACAAAACGGATTCCCAGATTCAAATCAAAGCAGTCTAACCCGAAATCTCAATGGATTTAACCTCAGGTTTCTTCACCTCCTCCTTAGGAACCGTCACAGTGAGGACGCCATTCTCCATGGACGCCTTCACCTGTTCAATCTTAGCATTCTCAGGCAGCCGGAACCTCCTCAGGAACTTGCCGCTGCTCCGCTCCACGCGGTGCCACTTGTCCTTCTTCTCTTCTTTCTCCCTGCTCCTCTCTCCGCTGATCTGCAGCACTCTCCCCTCCTCGACCTCCACTTTGACCTCTTCCTTCTTCAGCCCCGGAAGATCCGCCTTGAAGAGGTGAGCCTCCGGCGTCTCCTTCCAATCGATGCGCGTGTTCACGAACGCCGATGTCTCGCTGGCCGGGCCACCGGCATTGGCGACGGCGTTGGAGAACGGCAATCCATCAAACGGATCCCAGATATCGAGAGAGAATGGGTCGAAGACGTTGCTCCGGCGACCTCCAAAGATGCTTGGAATCAGAGACATTGTATTGATTTCAAACAAACAGCTAATATGTTGGCCTCGTTGAGAGTATGTGATGGATACTTCGAACAGATTTCTTCCGATGCTTGGTGGAAGGCATGGCTGGCGTTTATATACGCAAGAGACTGCGAGTCTGGGATGACGCCAGCACTTTCAGGGAGTTTCCAGAGATGTTTTGTCAACCTTCCATTCTCTGTTCGCCATTGTTCTACACAGTTCCCGACGTTGATAGACGATGTGGTGATGTTCACGTTAGATGTTTTGAGTATAGAATGGGGTTGGGCAGCCCAAAACCAGCAGGAGTCTTTTACTTCTAGTTAAGTCTTTTAGTTATGGGCCGATCCATTCAATTTGTCTGTATGATTAAAAGAAGGCCCAACTTTCCCAGAATAGTAGAGATCTTTTACTTGTATTTCATCCCGATAACATATACTACCTCCGTCCCATTTTATGTGTCTTAGTTTGACTTGACACGGTTATTAATGAAGTGATTGAAAAAGTAAAAGTTGTGGTTGAGGTTTGAGTTTAATAAAGTGAAACGGTGTAGACCACATATTTCTTTCCAAAAGAGGAAAGTAGACACTTATTTTGGGACAACCCAAAAGGGAAAGTAGGACAGGTAAAATGGGACGGAGGGAGTAGGAAAATTTACGCGAACATGCCTAATAAGGAAAATAATATCAGTTTTTTTTCACTTTTGAGAGTTATTTCAAATATAGCCTAACTAAACTCTTCCTTTCACAAATGGATTATGGGTTGGTTTGCAACTGCTTTTAAAAACGCACTTCTTAACTTTTGGCTTTAAAAAAGTACTTATTTTCCCAAACACTACAACTTTTATTTTTCTCAGCTTCCGCGTCAAAAGTGCTTTTACTTTTTCTATTACACAAAAAACACTTATTTTACCAAACACTACCACTTTTACTTTTTCAAAATCACTTTCTTCTCAAACACTATTAACTTTTATTTAATCACTTCTTCCCATTTCATTAAAAAAAGCACTTTTTTAAAAGCAGAAACTGTTGCAAAAAAACACTTTTCTATTACACATAAAGTGATTAAAAAAACATTTTTATTTAATCACTTCTCCCTATTTCATTAAAAAAAACACTTTTCTATTATACAAAAAGCACTTATGTACGGCTATTGCTCCTCCCGCCGCTCCTGCAGTGCCAGTGGACCCGAACCGCCGGTGGACCGGGCCACTGGACCGGGCCGGTTGCTACAGTGGGCGGGCTGGGCCGGTTCCGGGTCGGACCGCCCGGCCCGAGTGCATCCCTATCGTGCACTAATATATTCGTACTTCATATAACACTCTAAAACTCTTCTTATGAGATATACGTAAAAATATTTTTCTCTATCATCTTTTGTAAGTAATAATTACACAATTCTTTTTTTAACTAGGAAAAAAGTAAAATCTTTATATGAAAAATATTTTATATTTAAATTCAGTTATGGCTGAAGTGGCTGCATTGGCTGATTCTGATGATTTATGAAAAAAATATTTAAATTATATTTATATATATAATAAAGAAAAAATTATTTGAAAATAGCTAAAATGATCATATACAATAATTTCAGCCAATACAGCCGGGAAAGAAATCCAACCTTACTTTTTCTTATTATTACACAATTCAGCGCACAAAATCATAAGCTACGTGTTTGATGAAAACTTTGGCTGATAAGCCTAATAAGCCGAAAAACAATGCCACCAAACGGGCTCTTACTTGGCTGAATCTCTTTAATTATGAATAAATACATTTTATCAACATAATTAAGAAAGATTTATATGAAAATAGTTAAAATAATCTAGAACAATAATTTCAGTCAAATCAGTCAGTAAAGTTGTTCAACCTCACTTATTTTGGTTATTACACATTTCAGTGCGCTACATCGAAAGTTACGTCTTAGGTGAGAAATTGTTTGATAAGTCAAAAATAAGGTCACCAAATGGGTACTTAAATTGTACTTCCTCCGTCTCCTAAAATTTTTTCAAGTTTGACCGGCACAAGAATTAATAAATATAAAATGTGTTGTAGAAGTTTGTGCATAGGAGAATGAATTAACTGAAACCACAAGTTCTTTAATTAAAGGAAAAATTCAAATGAATAATCCAAACTATTAAGAGTCTTCCCATATTAATTCCAAATATTGATAATTCTAATATAATCCCAAATTCAATGACAGTCTTCTCCCCTTGATCCAATTCACCCGTGACCTATTTAGCCGGTAAAAATGAAAAGAACACTATTCATCTTCATCTTCTTGCTTTTGCATCTGAACATCTGAAATGGAAATTCGCAAGGTAGGCAACTAAGACGAATACCACCACACTTATCTTCCGCTTCACTCTTCTTCTAAGAAGATGTGATGACTGAGCATCCACCACCGCCGGCAGTCGGAGTAGAACCGGCGAGTGAGTTTCCATAGGTTTTTTGAACGGTTGCAACCACGGTGTCATAGCCCTTATTTTACTTCTGACCGCAGACCACGTCATTCGAGCACCACTGCTACTCTACATCGGTCCTCCTGGCCCTGCGCCCCCTGCTCTAGATTCATCATTGCCCTTCCCCCAATACCCTGTTTTGTTTGTACCAGTAACCAGTGCTGGTATTTGTTTATTTCCAGTATATATATACTAAGTAAATTATAGTCCATAAATTAATTAAATTGTGATTGGGTGATTTTTTTTTCTTTTTGAAGAAGATGGAGCTTGCTAGAAGAAGGGATGAGAAAGAAGAGCTGAAGAGATGATCTTGAATACCGCTGGATTGCTGGAAGCGGCGGTATTGTTCGGTGCTCCGGCCATTCCTCTTACCGTTGATGCCAATTCTTCTATGGTCTCCTGGGCTCCTGGCTTAGCACGATTGCCATGTTTTTTTTAGAGTCGATGGCCATGGTTAAAAAAACAAACAAGGAAAGAAAATATAAAGTAAAACAAAAATATTATATTCAGACCAATAAAATTATGACACGTGTCAAAATGACCTGTTTATTAGGTTGATGCAGGTCACCGGATTGTTTAGAGAAGATGCCCCTGATAATTTAGATTATTATAGAATATTCAATAGTTGGGAGTAATCTTGGAAGACTACTAATAGTTCGGATTATTTATGTGAATTTTTCCTTAATTAAAAGGAAAAGTGGCAAAGTTAGTTGAATAACCAAAAAACAAAAGTTAATAAAATTTTAAGGGACGAAAGGAGTAGTATCATGATATTTGATTGTCTTTTTGTTTTTAGATCCGGTGGAATCCAAAAATCCAAAGGTTTTTGGAATGAGGGTCAATGAACACCCCACCTATTTATTATATGAAAGGAAAAAGGTTTGATTGTCACGTATAGCTTATTTTTACACCTTATCCTTCTTTTAACTTACTAACAATTTTTCATGCGATTAACATTTTCCTTTTTCCTACAAAATACCATTATATACTGGAAGCAAGCACCGTGGTCAGCGACACGGAGAAAGTGGAATGCACGGACGTAGGCAGCAGGAGGCGGCGATCTCAACGGCATGCTGGAAGCAAACACTGTGGTCAGTGACGCGGAGAAGGTGATCTGCGCCGTATCAGCCACGCTCATCTTCAAAGGATCAGCGGCTGCCATAGATGTGACGGTAGTCGACCCCGAGGCGGCGGCTATACTAGGGTTCAAGGGAACCGAAAAAAGAAAAAAAGAAACAAAAAACAACATGTGTGATACATAAAAGAGAAACAAAAAACAACATATAGAACTATCACAATAATACACAATTCAATCTATTGTTTCAATTTATTACATTTATCTATTACATCATGTGGCTTAGATTCTTCTTTTTTTTCAAGGGTGATCTTAAATTATTTAGCAAAAATTCCTACATTGGTGCACATCCTATGAAGCACGGATACTTCCCTAGGGTAGCGTATCGGCGTATCCGATACGTTCCCGTATCCGATACTCTAGGATACCCGTACCGTACGTTCCCGGGCCGTATCTGCAATTTTTTAAAAGTTTCCATTTTTTTTGTAATTTTTTTAAAGTTTCCGATACTCGTATCCTGACGGATACTCGTATCAACTTTTTTAAAAAAAATCCCAAAATTTACTTAATAAATTTAAACTGAAAATCTAAAACTACATTTTACTTGGTAATCAAATAATGGGCTATATCCGAATTAAGTCATTAACTCATACTCCGAATTGGGTACTTGCACTTTTAATTTCAAGATTGTAGTTGTTTGACTTTTTTCTCATTTTAAATTAATGACTTATTGACTACATTTATATTTCGAGATGCACTAGTGTATATGAGAAATATTATGAATTTATTACTAAGTATCTTGAAAAAGGAAAATGCTTCAATGCAATGAATGAGTAGACATCATAGGATATTATATGTATATATATATATTAAAAAAAATCTATTTTTAATATTTATAAATAGACCCCTATAACTTTTAATATTTGTAAATACACCTCCATAACTTTTAATATTTATAAATATAGCCCCGTATCCGTATCCTACTTTTTTTGGTTTTGACGTATCCCCGTACCCGTTTCCGCGTTTCCGCGTTTCCGCGTACCGGTATCGGTGCTACATAGTGCACTTCTGCTAACTCATCAGAAGTTGAGAATATGCTGGGATAAAAACAAAAAGAACTAAAAAAAAGATAGACAATGTCCTTCCAATGATCATCAATCAGAGACAAACAACAACTAGATAATACAGTTCAATTCAGAAGGCCGGTTTTGTTATGAGCTTCTTCTCTAGCAGGATAAAACTTTCTGAACTTCTGCAATAACATCCTTTGGTTGTTTTTCAGCATGTAAGCTAGCAACAACACCCTTCTTTGAACAATAATCTACAACTGGTTCTGTTTGGCGGTGAAAAGCCTCGAGCCTGGACTTGAGAACAACAACATTATCATCTTTGGGTTGAATTAGAGGTTTTCCAGTGACATCATCAACTCCAGGAACTTTAGGTGGCGCAAACTTTGTGTGATAAGTTCTTCCACTTGAAGGGTCAATCGATCGACCAATAATCCTCTCTTCCAGAACAGCATCATCAATTGCAAAATTTAATACTTTGTCCACTTTGGCACCCTGCTTTTGAAGCATTCCATCAAGCTTTTTTGCTTGAACCACTGTCCTGGGAAACCCATTAAGAATGAACCCTTTTTGGCATGAGGGTTTCTTCATTACTTCATCAATGATCTCAATAACTAAGTCATCCGAAACAAGTTCACCCTTGTCCATGGCTTCCTTGGCCTTGATTCCAAGAAGAGTTTTGGCAGCAACAACAGCTCTAAGCATGTCACCGGTGGCCAAATGGCATAAATAGTACTCATCCTTAATGATGGGTGACTGAGTACCTTTTCCAGAACCAGGTGGGCCGATGAGAATGAGGCGCTTGTCGGGCTTGGCGGAACACTTAAGACGGCGGAGGAGCTCCGACATGATGGTTTCACTTGGGATATCCTCCAGCGACACCGTTGACCCCGCCATGTACCGGCTTAGATTCTTCTCATTTCTTCCTTTTTAGGAACACTTTCCACACAATTCATTAAGTCCCTCTATCTTCATATTCCAGAATTCAAAATTCACAATTTATATGCACCAGAACTCTATCGAACTACATCTCTAAATCTGAACTAAAACAAACAACAATATTCACATGAAATAACATATCACAATCCCTCAAACTAAAGTTGAATTTAGAATTCACAAAAACAACTCCACAAAAATTAAACTCCAGAAGTCTAGGGAGCAATCTTTCTAAATTCACAAATCACAACAAAACTCTCATATTCCAGATAGAGGCATAAAGCTTAACTAAATAAAATACAACATAAATAAAGCTAAAAGTACAATACATACCTGAAAATAAAAAGACCACGACTTAGCCAGTAGACACGAGGATGCCGGATGGCGCAGCCACGCATGGCAAGACTCGGAATCGAGCTTTCCGTCAAACAGCCGATTCAGCTTTCCAGCGAAGTGTAGAACGCCGACCGGTGTGAGTGGCAGCAGGTCTCGACTTGTCTGCTTCGAAGATTAATTCGACGAAATCGGTCCACAGTAGTCTCTCTTCCCATCCTAGAGAACACCAAATCGATTGCCTTGCTAACTGAGGATGCTGGAACAACGAATCCGAACATAACTCCGATGTTTAATAATGGCCATAGGAACCCTACCCTCATAGGAGAGTTGGAAGTCGATCACTCAGAAGAGAGTTGGAAGGCCGATAGAAAATGTCCTGCTTTTCTTCCCCGATATTACTCTACTTACGGTTACGAATAGGGGTTGGGAAAATGGTCTAAAAATGAAATAAAAACTCACAATTGAAAATCGGAAAGTTAAAAATGAAAAGAAAGAGTAGTTGTGCTATAAATGATATGCTACTCCTAAAAGTCGACTACTCGGGTAATTTCCACTAATATATATGAAGTATTAGATATATTAGGGAGAATTCCCCAAATAGGATGCAATGAAATTTTAATTGCTAAAATAGGATTATAAGAGCATCTCCAATGCTATAATGTGCACGGTGCACATGTGGCATGAGTGATGGCCACATAAATATTAGCAAATAAATTATCTCTCTCCTTATTTGAATGATTCCATACAATTTTGGTAAGTTTTTCCCTGCAATGTCAACAACAATGTCAACATCTAGACGGTCTCCTTGACATTATAGAGAAAAACTTACCAAAACTGTATAAAATCATTCAAATAAGGAGAGAAAGAATTTATTTATTAATATTTATGTGGCTATTTCTTATGCCACGTGTGCACCGTGCACATTTTACCATTGGAGATGCTCTAAGAGCATGTTCAATGCTAAAATGTGCACGGTGCACATGTGGCATGCGAGATAGCCACATGAATATTAACAAATAAATTATTTCTCTTCTTGTTTGAATGATTTTATACAATTTTGGTAATTTTTTCTCCATAATGTCAAGAAGGCCGTCTAGATGTAGACATTGTGGTTGACATTGCAGAGAAAAATTTACCAAACTTGTATTAAATTATTCAAAGGGGAAATGGAAACTAATAATCCAACCTTTTAGCGGTCTTCTTACAATAGTCACACCTTTTCGTTATTCATGAATAATCCAACCTTTGCACCTCATCTTCATTCACTGGTCCCTGACCGGTTGATGACCTGCTATTTCAAGTTATTTTCTTATATTTGCAAACCATTATACCTTAAATCTCACCTTTCACAAAGATAATATTTTTGCAAAGATAAGAAAATAACTTGGAATAGCTGGTCATTAACCGGGTCAAGGATCAGCAAATGAAGATGGGATGCAAAGGTTGGATTATTCTTGAATAACGAAAAGGCGAGACTATTGTATGAAGACTACTAAAAGGTTGAATTATTAGTTTCCATTTTTCCTTATTTAAATAAGGAGAGAGATAATTTATTTGCTAATATTTATGTGGCTATATTGTTTGATAACTGATTGTTATACACAGAACGGGGTGAGTGTCCCTCTCTCAAGATCTTCGGTTATTCCTAGGGCTCGGCCGCTAGGGTTAGTATCTCTGATCTCAGATCTTTACCGAGGATCGATAATTGCACAGCAGGGGAGAAGATTCAAGCGAAGAGTGGTCCGGATTCGTAGGGGCGAAGAGCGAGGGGCAGAATCGAGGAAGCCATTTCGGATGAAGAGGTCACTGCATGGAGGATATTGTTGCTTCGTATAAGAAGATGTCGACGAAGGAGCAGGATAACGAGCTGAATTTCGACGAGGAGACAGAGGAGGACGTCGAGGAGGAGAAGGAACCGGTGTGCTTTCCTGTGGTTGGGTTGTCATCACCGACCGCAAGGTTAAATTACCTGGGTTTCAAGAGTTGATGACTTCTATCTGGAAACCGGGGAAAGGTATGTCTATCAAAGATATCGGCGAAAGAAGATATCTGCTAAATTTTAATCATGTTTTGGATATGAACTGTGTGATTGAGGATGGTCCTTGGCTTTTTGAACGGGATTTAATACTGTTGAAAGATGTTCAACCAGATGATATACCTGAATCGATGAATTTATTTGAGGCTAGATTTTGGGTACAGGTTCATAATGCCCCTATAAAGTATAGGAATTTGAGATCTTCCAGAAAAATTGGTAATTTTTTAGGCTCTTTTATCAAATTTGAGATGAGCCAATTTAATGGAAAGCAGAGCTCTTCTATGCGTATGATTGATATGAACCGTGTGATTGAGGATGGTCCTTGGTTTTTTGAACGGGATTTAATACTGTTGAAAGATGTTAACCGAGATGATATACCTGAATCGATGAATTTATTTGAGGCTAGATTTTGGGTACAAGTTCATAATGCCCCTATAAAGTATAGGAATTTGAGATCTTCCAGAAAAATTGGTAATTTTTAGGCTCTTTTATCAAATTTGAGATGAGCCAATTTAATGGAAAGCAGAGCTCTTATATGCGTATAAGGGTGTGTCTGGATGTGCGTCAACCTTTGAAAAAAGGTACTAATTTGACACAGGATGGGGTGAAACATTGGGTAGATTTTAAATATGAAAAACTACCCAGTTTTTGCTTTATTTGTGGTATAATCGGACATTCTGACAAACTCTGTCCATTGAAGTATAAAGAGGGCTTCGTAGCTGAAAAAACATATGGGGTGGGACTTAGAGCAGGAGGAAGGGTGAAGACCTGCCCAACAGGATTCCACAAATGGTTATCTGATGGAGCCTCTAGCTCAGATGGATATGGAGGTCAGCGGAAGGCTGATCTCGGGGGAGAGAATACGGCCGAGTCCAAGACTAGCAAGCCATCACAGCATGAGATTGAAGATAAGGAAGAGACTCCTGGAGACCCAAAGCGCAGAAGGATATGGGATAGTCAGACTGAAGAGTGTACCAATGGCGAAGGAATGGCTCTGGATGGGCCAAAAAATGGGGAGGGGCGGGTCAAGTCTCTTAGACCCGCCATGTCTTCATTTGGTGGTAGTGGGGAAGAAAACAAGTGATGGTGTTTTTCTTATTGTCTGTTTTGTTTATTTTAATTTCGGATGCTATGTTCTGTTTTTCTTTTATGTTTTCATTCCTTGTAAGACTCTTGCATTAAAGTTGGGGGATGGAAAGTCTGCGGTAACCGTCATTGACTTTAAGTTGCCCAATTTTGTTCTAGAGAGTTGTACTGTTTTTTTACAGATGGTTAACTCTCGGTCTCGGCTACGGGCGGATGGTTATATGTGGTTCTTTTCTACTTATGTACCGTTGCTGAATGCTATTTTTATGAATTGAGCCTTCTTCGAGCAAAAAATAATTATGTGGCTATCTCTCATGCCACATGTGCACCGTGCACATTGCAGCATTGAATATTCTCTAACTTTAAATTCGTTAAATAGGATTTGCTTTCCAATTCCACCCTTGTTTTGTTTTAATACAATTCATATTTCATTAATAATTAAAAAATAAATATAATAACATAAATTTATTTATAATAAAATGTGAAAAAATCAAAATAAATGAAAATAAATATTAAATAAAATTAATAACTATAACAAATTAGAAAAATAAAAAATTATAAAATAAAAAACTTATAAAATTAAAATAAATAAAAATACAAAAAATATAATAATAATAATAATATGTAGACTTCTACTGCCATCTCAACAACCTCCTAGCACCATTCGGTCCGATTACTGGAAATAAATGCCAAGATGTGTGAGAAATGGCGTCTTTGTGGTATTTTCAGAGAAAAAATGACATTTTTACACAAAATGACATTTTTTCACCGACCGAGATGACATTGTTGGGCGGTGGTCGAGTCTGCATAAAAGGTCTCCATTTTTTTTGTAATGTGATTTATCTATTTTTTATAAGGTTTGTCAATAGTCCTAATATTTATTTATTTTTTAAAAACATACTATAGCAAGTCAAAATGGCTTGATTGATTGTGTCTAAAAAACAAACATTTTTTTTATCATCAAAACATGCCTCTATTCATATCAAAAGATTCATCAGGATCATTACATCAAGCAAAGGGAAAATAAAACATACACCAACTGAAACTCCAACAACTACGACTGTAACCCTATGGTGAGACTTTGAGACGGTCACCCCTGAGAGAGCAACACGAATTGCTAACCATGTAGTGGGCTTGACACCACCAAAACTATTCCCATAGATCTAACCATACCCAATGACATAAAGAGAGGCAAAAAACTCAAACAAACTGTCAAACCCAACAACAAAAATGGACGCAAGAAAACAAATAACAAACAGATAAAAACTACAAGAAAAACGTTCACGAACTAAAGCAAACATATTTATATGATGTTTTTTAATGCAAGAGTTTAAATGATGGATTACAAAAAAAAAAATACTCGTAGTACTTATATACGTAGTAATAGTATTTCCCTGTTTTTAAGGTTTTTATTTTTTTTAATTTTCTTTTTACTTTTTAATATTTTTTTCAAAATATTTTAGAATTTTGTTTATAT